GACAAAGTGGAAAAACACAACGAAACGTGGCGGGTTGTGGCAAACCGCCGAGTGCATTCATACGATCATCAAGCGCGTATATTATTACATGCGTAAAGCATGGAAGCTTATGTTTACACAAGGGTGAGAAGGCGAACGCAATTGTCGCTAAGTTTCGGTATTTGATGACTTCAGGTGAAGGCGCCGGGCAACCTACTGAATCTATTTACTTTATTTTTTTGTTAAAATACATGAATAGAATTTCCCAGAATCGTAGCCAAAATATAAACGCTTTCAATTCCAACACGCGTAACATTTTCCCTTCGTCCTTCGACGTAATATTGTTAACTCGATAATAAAACATATTCCGCTCGCTTGACGTGTGCGCGCCTGGAAACGTGTCGGTGGCAAATGAGGATTGAGATTGTCAGTGTTCAACGAGTGGAACGGATTTATGCGCGAATTTCCAAATAATTCTCTGGCTCCTTTTCAGCCACCGCCTCTCCGCCCACTAACAAACTTTAATTTATCGGTCCCTAGTTGGACGCGAACGTTTGCAGCGCACGGTCCGCCGCCGCCGCCGCCTCCGCCTCCGGCATGGCCTTCACTCAGGCAGATTCCAGTTTCCAAAATCCCAGCCTCTATTAGATGTCAGACTTTCTCCGAGGCGACAATCAAAACGCCGTTAGTTGCATTGGCTAATGATTTAATCAATACTCATGCCAAACGGATAAATCTGGCATAAATTGTCATCTGTTGCACTTTTTATGCATTTGATAGCAATTTCACACGGATAAAACAACATCTGCATTAACACTTACTTAAATACGTTGATATCTCATTGGTTTATGCCGATATCAGTTGTGAATCAATGTAAATCACCTGAATAATACCCACCGTCGTACACGTGCCGTTTCCACCCGACACTACGACGCCCGCCATGTCATAACCGCCATGGTAACGGTAACCGGTGTGCCGTGGATTCCCACCGGCGCCGCCATCATTCGAGACCGCGAAAGCTAATAACCCGCCGAGGTTAAACTTTTCCTAATCGAGTCAACCGGGCGAATGACAAGCACGACACGAAATTTGCAAACTTCCTTCCGCCCTATCGCGATGGAGATGGCCGCCGCCGCATCCAGCCCGAATGCTTCTCGAAGCGTTCTTTCATTTTAAACGGACAGTCCCGGTCGTGTTTAATTTTTAATAAAACCAAAGGGAGAAAGTTGGTTAGCTAAATTCTTAATTAAAAAATTGTTGTGAGGGCGCGCCCCGTGTGCGTAGCAACTGATAAGCCAGAAGCAGAAGCAGAGAAGCGGGTTATCCGCCCCTCGGGCCTCAAATCGACGCACTGAAGTGCGTGAACCGCTCGGCTGCCGTGACGCCGCGATAATTTACTCTAATGACATTTAATTGTGAATAATTTTGTTATTACGTATTACTCTTGTGAGTGTGCGCACACCTCGCGCGCCTTTGCACGCTCACGTTTCAATTAAACCCTTTTGCAACCCGCCTCGCTGATGAATTATGAAATGCATGGCTGACTTTGGTGTAATTCTTAGCTGTGCGAGAATTTTAGAAGGCAAGAATTAAATTCTACCCGCAAGCTAATATCTGTTGCTAAATATTTTATATATTTAATGTATTATAAGCCATCATGTGTGAATTTATATTTTTTTCTTTCAATTTCGTTTATTTTCATCACCAAAAAAAAGAAAAAAAAATTGATACTCAATCTATGCTATGGGTTGACTTGCTACGTATCACAATGTGTATTTTGCGTTTACATATTGTGTTTCCCTATCTCGCCGCGCCGCAAACATTTCAACAATGAGCGAAGAGATTGATACGAATTAATTTTTGCATCAACGCACGCTGTGCGATGTTATGATTCGACGACTGCACAACAGTGAAATCGTGGGATGACATACGGCGTTTATTCACGCGTTTATTTCGCTTCAACTATGCAAACCAGCACAGCCAGATTTGCATTCGGCAATTTTTTACTCCCTGCTGCTGCAGCAGGAGGAACTAGTTTGCATAAAAAATTGGATTTCTTCGGGAGTGGCTTATTAGGCGCACATCCGGCGGAGCAAGTTTGGATTCTTATTCTGTCGACGTGCACTCTCACACCGCGATTGTCCATTTCTCCTAAGACTTCAATCCAATTAACTGTACGATAAGCATTGGAGGAAATTTTTCCAACGCTGTTTGCAAGTTTCTTGTTCTTTTTAATTCTTATTCTTAAATTCACGTTTTGCTACTGAAAAAGTGGGGGAAATGATTCGTTTCGGAGCATTGTCTTGCATAAAATTGTTAACGTTTTGCAGGCGAGCGGCGAAGACAATTAAAACGAGAGTTTTCGCACGCGCAACTACCATCGATCATCGCCAACTTACCGGAACACTTGCTGCACTTAATTAAAAGAATCGAAACATGCAATGTCATAGTCCGTAATTATTTTTCAAACAATTATTTCACCGTTTAACAAAAAAATAAAAAAAATAAAAGTATCTCATCGACAAATTGAATATTTATTGGAAAAAATGACTTCCTCTTTATCACAACCCTCTTGTACATGTGATGATATTAATCTGTATCGGCGCTCGCGCATGGTATGTTTGCTAAACGAACTAGATTAAGCCGGTCGTGCGCGCACGCGTTAATCCGATTTGGTCATTCATTTATTTTTACTTTGAAGTAATTATTAAACGAATTACCCGCCGGGCGCACTCCATGACTGGAAAGTTTTAATGCAATTTCGCGGCGACCTCATTTACGTACGCGGAGAATCATCGGAAATGTAATTGAAAAAACATCCGGTGGCCGGTGGCTGGGCTGGGCTGGGCGCGCGTTTCTTGCATACAAAAATATCCTGCGCATGATACATCGCAATGCGCACGAGGCATTAAAATAACACTGGGGCTTGTTTCCCCAATTCAACAATCACTTGTCCCAACAATGGAATTAAATATAAATACAATTTTTGCCTGCGTTGAATAAATTCTCTCACTAAGCTTTTAATTAATCCACGTTTAGTAAAATGATAGTTTTTGTGGGATAGAAACTTTTTGACCGCAATAAATATTGCGCTGGTAATGACCGGTTTAAGTCTGTTATTGTTTACATTAGTAGAGGACGACGTGAAGCACATTAACATTAAACAAAGGATGTGTGTATACAAATTGCCCTTTTGTACGCGCGTAACGCGAGTAAAACGGATGCGGTGATAGGCGACTGAGCGCAGAAGGTGTCGTCGATGGGACAAGACAGCTTTGAGCGTGTCGCCAACACGAATATTATTATGTCCTAGGTCGCCGGCAAACGCGTCATTTTCAGTCTTGGGTTTACTTCCGGCCAGCCTTTTGCGCTTTGTGCATCTCGCCTCTCACCATTACGCTCCTTGTCCAGCGGGATTCATCTGCGTGCTTAGCGATTTAATCACGGACCTTGGATATCAGATAATCGCCGTTATTGATCATATTAATTAAGTGTGTTAGCCCTTAATGACCAAATTGCTGTTATTATTCTATTGATACATGCGTTTCGGTTGCTTTAGTCTTTAGACCCTATTAGGAGTTTTGTTACAATCGCTTTGTCATTTTAATTGCTCACAGATAGTTTCATTCAACTCCTAGAGCTCTAATAAAATTAAAAAATAATTAAATTTTGGAATCTTGGAATTTTAATAAAATTTTGAGACAACTATCGCCCTCTGTTGATAAAATTGTGTATTAACTATGCAATAATGAAATTTGAATAATTTTGGCGCATTGGCTGCGGTGAAAACCGATAAAATCGATCCGTAGGTGATGAAACCATCCATCGACGCACGATATCTCTCCTATAATCATTCATATAACTTTCACATCGGAACGCGCATCAATCTCTATCGCTTCGAACTCGTTAGATATGACTTCGAGTCGGCTGGTTTTCGCCAGGGCGCATTATGTGGCGAGGCCTTTTTGTTCAATTTGTATAAACATGTATAATATATTTTCTTTCGCCATCCGGCGCGCGGTTTTGCTGCTTCCTTTCTAGTTTTTGGCGTCTCTAGCGCTCGTCGTCAACTGCTTATTCAGTAGTTCGCGCTCGCGTTCGGCGTTCATGTTTATTGGACACATTCCAAGATGATTAGCATTGCTAAACGTTAACCGCTCATGTTAACCAAGTGACACGATGAAATTTATGTCATCATGGCATTTAATAAGTTAATGTCGTACGCGTACAACATGCCAACACGATAAATATATGATAGCGTACAAAAAAAACAACGGAATTTCTTATTTTTTATTTTTATCAAGTTCGGAATAAAAAAATTGTCAATTTAAACAATTGACACGTTTGTTAATTAAGAAACATTTGCAATAATTACGTCTCGACGCGTTAAATGTTCAGCATGTATTTGCCTCATTCAATATTCAATGAACTATTAACATACTCGCGCACGTGTGACGCTTAACAAGACTTTCGACTAATTATTGATGTTTGACGAGCAATTAGCTTTAATGATTGGTAATTTTATTACGAAACGCTTGTATATTTCCAGGAGTACCATGCAGCGCGCAGCATGTTTATTGTTGCCAATTTCGACACAAGTATTCAATAGACTGCATTCTCCGCTCCTGCTGAATAAATATATTCCTCTGAAAGCGTAGAAGGGTATTTGTCGTGAGCGGTGCACCCCGCGAAGCGGTCATGAGTTAATAATGCAATTTATGGATGCCCCCGACGACGTCACTGCCTGGAAAATCACTTGGCTTAGTTCTTGTAAGAAAGCGACGCTTTTATTAAACTTTTGTAAATTAATATATCACAATGTGCGGTAGCGCCAACCTTTCCACCGCCGTTTGTCACGGATAAACACGGTGGTCATTTAAGTATTTATACACAACTGGCGAGCGCCATTATTTCCGTTTACGCGCTGGTCGCGTACATCGCTGCGATTTAACTATTTCATTGCAGCGACAGCGCAGTTGCGTTTTTTTTTTGTTGCGTTTGCTTTCAGCGTTGTCAGCGTGCATATTTTGCCATTGGTGTATCCGGTGTCGTGCTATAACGACTACACACTTGCGGACTGTGCGCAGCTTCTCTATTTTACAATTTCGCGATTTTCCGTGGCAGTAAGTTTTAATTTTTAATAAACTTTCCACGGAGCTTCAAGCCCGGAGGTTGCCTGTTTCCTTAGTGCGTCTTTGCGTTAGTTTTGTTTTTGCGTAAGTTAAAAGAATATATTTTCCAAGATTTGTGAGACCATTAAACGTAAACAAGATAGTTTCAATTGATACAGTTTTTTATTAACTCAAATAATTTATTTCCACGCATAAATTATTTAAAAAATAAAAATTGTATTAAATTGAAACTAAAAACTAAATTAATAGGTATATACAGAGTGTCACTATTTTATTTTTCTTTTTGTAAAATTTAAATATTAAAATTCTTATCTCTGACACGATTTACTTGAAATTATTACACTCATCGGGTAATTTCATCTAATCATCAGCACCATACGCCTTAATTATACCTAATAACACGGATTAGTAATCTTTTAATAAAAGGGTTAGCATAATAGCGTGCGCGTTGGTTATAATGCAACATAGCTAAATTCATCCATCAGCATACTTGTTGTTTAATCACGAATTCAAAACATTACATCATATCACAATGTATTTGTGCGTGCATACGTTTTTAATAAAAAATATGTTTGATAATTTTTCAAAGAGGTGTTTTGTTACAACCCTTGATTAAATTACGTATAACACTACACTCGAAATGATTTCATATTGCATTTGAAATTTATACCAATCGCAGAAGTTTTGTTAAAACTATTAACCAGCATCGAATTCGTTATTTAGTTTGAAATTATATTCAATCCATTACATGAGTACAGAGATTTGATGGATAACAATATGATGTTGCTAATTATGCGCATTATTCAAGCCCAGCGAATTGCGAAAGCAAATACAAAGCATGTTTTAAGAACGCTCTGTGGAACTGTTGCAATTTTTCACCAAAGAGCGCGGGTTTTACGTTTTATGTTTTACGTGCGTTTTCGTTTGCGTTGTTCGCGTTGCGCGCTCAAGTTGCTATAATGAGTTCTTTCTTGGATTTCATTATGTTTTTGTTCTTTTGCAGCACAAAGCCGAAAGCCATCCGTCCTTGATGTCCTCGGGGATGTCGTCTCAATAGACTTGCGTTATTATCATCTCGCCTTTTTGCCAGCGCGCAACTTCAAGGTAAGAATGCGCCGTTGCCTTTCGTCTCTAACTCACAGTGCTTCATACTTTGTTTTGTTTTGTTCGATTCACGTGTTTCGTTCGCGAATCCGTCAACGTTACCTACTCACCGACAAGCGGAATAGGAAAGCTCGGATAGGGAAATTTTCGTCTGCCGTCTGAATTGCATTTTTCGTGTGCATTTTGCATGCTGCAAATGCATCGCGGCTCTTCTAGTGTTGAGCACTTTGCATTGACAAGCGAATGCGCATTCCGATACTGAGCGCTCGCGTCCCATTAAACAACAATGGACAATGGAAGCCTATGCATAAAGCTTCTATAAAATCCCAAGTTGAAACTGAAATGGTCGATGCAACAATAAATATTGCCTCGCTGTTTGACTTTTTTTTAAACTTTTAATGCGCCAACATTTACGTTGTTTCTAGGTGTATTTACGCGCCGCAAAAAATCCGTGTTTTTATCGATTCGGCTATTTGCGCTAATATTTTTCACTTGCGCAACATTATGGCCTATTATCCCTGACACCGACTTACGATTCGCACATCAACGGATGCAATCTGTTTTGTGAAATACTATCACGTCAATGTACGTCGAATGAGTGCGCTGAAATGAGCCAACTTGAGACAAATAGCACATTTGAGCGCTCAATATAAATGAATTTCGAGTTTAAACTGCCGCATTTCTAAACTTTATATCTTTTTATTTTTTTATGCGTCTGGAATGCGTCATAAACTTTTATGCATATTTAATGATCAAAAAAGAAAAAAAAAATCCCAATGATAATTATTTCACTTTTGAAGTAAAATAAATATTACTTTAAATATTAGAGACCAATTTGACAGTCACACGCTGTTCGCCATACGTCCTTTCATCGTTTCTTATTTTTTTTATCATACTTACACGCTGCATTACGTGCCCTTCGCAAAATGGTTCAGTCAGTATTCCGCTCATGCTTGAAAATCTGATTTCTCTCATTCGATTATATATACCTACTTATGATTCCATAAAGCAAACTGCTTCTTTATTTCAATAGTCGAATCGGCAACCCCCGACGATAAGAAAACCAACATCATTTCGAATTACACAACGTCTAGTAGATTAGGTCGGCGCTTTGCAACGTTTTGCAAGCAACATTTTCGAATTGCCTCCTCGGATATACACGCCGAAATGGTGAAATTTTCTCTTTGCTCGTACGTTTGCTGGCGGTTCCTTCTCGCCGCGAAACTGAGCACTGAGCACGATTTGCCAAGGTCTATTGTGCTGAATCTACAGAAATCCTAGGTTAACAGTATACTGGGCACACCATGCCGCAATCGAAATTATTTCAAGCATGCTTTGGTAGATTTGGCAGCAGCTCGAGTAAAAATGAACTTCACATTGAAGTAGCCGAGGGTGGACTTCATAAATGTTTGCTTGCTGCGGCTGAAATCGTATCGATTTATAACGTAGATTTACGCACCCGGTATGTGGGCGTCCCAGGACACAGTCTTTGCCTTTATCCCCGTTTCTGCAAGCCTTTGCTTGCGCTATAACGTCGCCGTTGTGCTATTTCGTTATTGCCGTCGCTAGTGGTGCATACTATAAAATTTAATCTTTATTACTGTGTACGGCGTTCGGCGGGCGAATGCGTCGTTGTCAAAGGACGCTCCAAGCCTCAGTGAGCGTCGCACTCGCGCCAGCTGCGAGCAGATAAATCTCTGATCCATTTCGTGACAAGCGCAGGACACTAAAGGATGATACATTGTTGATTGAAAGATGCGCTTGCTAGTGCTTTGGTTCTGGGCATGATTGTGTACGTGCGCGTTTGAGTTTGAATTTTCTTTTTAGAGGATCAACGCAAATACCTTCGACCTAGTATATGTAGTATTTGTTAGCAAACAAAAGCATGCATCATCCAGTCTTTTCCAGTGACCACAAACATTGTGAATTTGCGTACTGAACAAAAAATGATTTTTATTTTACTACGGAATTTTTGCCATCTTCTATCAGACTACAAATAGTTTTACAGAATTTTTATTTTATGCGATGAGCATGAACGCATTCAGAAATCATTAGGAGTAATTACTTGTAGAAATAATTCAACTGAGCAGAGCACAGCGGGCGTGTTTTTCTAGTTTCAATTAGATGTTTGCACTTGTTATTTTTCCATTTTCTCCAATGAAAAATTCTCCGTCTGCACGTTCGGGCTCGAGCAATGTTTGTTCGGACATCAAGCAGAAATAAGTTTTAATGGTTGAATTTGGAAAAGAATTTTATTTCACTTCTTTTGCTTTTATTTTATTTTGATAAATATTATTCAACCATAGACACAACTATTTTTCGTAAATGTTAATGAATATCAACGTATAAACATTAATTTCGTCAGGATTTGAATGAAACTGAGAAAAAAAGTGTCACCGTTGTTGTTGACGTGCAAACCGAAAAGATGAAAGACGTGACAAAAAACGTCCTGAATTCATTTCGGGTTTTCGCCAATAAAATGAAACAGCATTTACATATTCACAAAAGCAAGCGCAAGCAAAAAGTACGAAAGACGCACCTACGTCTGAGAAAATATTTATTTATGAATATAAAGCGAATCTACTCGCTTCGCCCATGAACATCGAAACGTCCAAATATATTTCTTGGAAGCCGTAGGTGTCGCCAGCCTTTTATGGACACAAACACAAAAACATGTCAGAATATAATTGTGTTATTGGCTTTTTTCTGCCAGGTTGAAAAAAATGCGCAAAACATATTCGCAAGTATATTTACTGCGAGAAAAATGATTAGTTATATAAGTTTTAATGTTCAAAGTAATAAAAAGAAAGAATTTTATCATTATTCAGTGTTTAATTCTGTTTTACACGATGTAGGTGCACGTAGTTAATAGAAACATGGAAATATAATAAAAAATTATATGTGTAGCACATAGCAATAACTGGAAATGTAAATAAAGATTAATTTTTATGGTTGGTCGCATATTTCCTGCCTGTGTTACCGGGAAATCTAAATTTTCCGCGCAAAGTTTTTCTCGTGTCGGAGTGAACGCACAAAGTGGAGGTAATAATTTATACGCTTTGCGTGCACACAGAAAGCGCAAGATTATTACACGGTGCTAGACGTTCATCAACAAATCCTTATTTTAAACGATTTTGTTTATTGTCATGCGATGCGAGATTCGAGACGAATTTGAACGGCGATCGTAAAACAGTGAACAATTAAACCGTACTAAAACGGATTACTTTACCAAGCTGCGGATATTTCTGCGCGTGTCACATTGGAAAATTGGCAAAACGAGTGCCCGGCGCCTCCGCATGGATTCAACGGAACGAATTCGGCTCTTTAATTTCTGAATATGGGGAAAACGTTAGCTGCAAACTACGTGAACATGCGCTGCTCCTTTTTTTTCAATTTATATTTATATTATTTTCTGGGGATTTCCTCCTAAGCAGGAAAAAAACAAGTCGTTTATATAACAAATATAAAACGAAAACCGTCCGAAGGTAAAATACGACCACATGCGAGCGTCGCACAAAGCGCCTGCAACCTGTACCCACGGACCAAAAGCAGAAAAATAAATATAAGAAGTAAAAGTGAGAGAATAAAAAAAGCGTATATATTTTTACGCGTGCATTTACCGAAGTCCGCCAGGCGTTTAATAAATATAAAATGAAACGAAATCGTGACAACGAAACGACGACGAAAAAAGTGCAAATATTGGGACACGAAATAAGCACGAATATTTTTTTGATTTTGTTGTGAGTGATAAAGTTAACCAAAGTAACAAAATATCGACTTTTAAATCAATATTTTCTTTTTTTTTTAAATTATTAATTTATATTAAGTAAAATAAAAATGTAGAATAAGTTAATATGATCCATTAATGTAATCCCCTCTTAATTCTACGGTATTAAAGATATGCCAAAGTACATCACTTAAGACGTTCACATATCGGGTACGTGCTGGTGTCGTTTTGGGGCGCGAACGATTTGGACTACTTTACTCTCGTCGGCGCTCGCGCAACTCAAAACTTGATAAATTAATTACCCGAGACATCCGGCGGCGCACACTAAAACTACGTACTTATATACTTTCCTAATTCAATTGAAAATTTCTCAAGTAACGCACATAGGAACGCAAACAAGGGGTCGGCGCTGCTTCACATGTCAACCCAGCGTCTTCAAATCGGCGCCGAAGTGCAAGACGTCGCGCGTCGCCTCGGCGCGCGCCTTTACAGATCTATAAACAAAGCCGGCGGCGTTTCTTATTATGCATGAAAACATTGCGCATCGAAAATATGCTAATAAGCTTCCGCGTTGGTTCGCGTGCGTCGCTAATGCTTACATTTGGATCGTTACGCCGCGCTGACTGTTTGCTAAAGCGGCAATGCCTCATGCAAAAGCATGCTCGCAGCCGCTGACATGCCGAGTGATGTGAGCGATGGATTATGAGCAGCTCTTGCTTAGTCAAGTGAGGAGGAGATATTTTTAACGCGCTTTCCTGTGTGATATTCGCTTATTACGTTTGCGTTTGGTATTTGGCGCGAGGGTTTCTTCAATTTTCTTGCTTGTTAGTTCGAGTTTATGTTGTCACAGACGTAATCAAGCAGAAAAACATTTATTGCATTAACCGGACAAAAGTAGCTTACATAACATAACCCCACTTTAGTTTAAATTCTCAAATTAAACCAAAAATTTAAAAAAATTAAATTTTTTAATTAAAAAAATGATAAAATTTGTTAGTTACCACCAAATAAAACCCCTAAAACCACAAAACAGATGTATTCTCATTGAAATTTTTATATATTCACAATTTAATCTATGTTTAATTAAATGCGGTTTGTTTTAACAATTTATATGTTTTCCCAACCTACCAGTCTAAATATATCTTCTATTGTATCCCGAATGAAACAACATGATGAACCGTTTTCAAGTTTTGAACGCACCCACGTTAACGTTTTAATGTTCATAAAATTAAACAATACAATCAAAAAGAAGTATACGTGCTGCTACCGCTCG